ATTTCTATATTTATCAAAATGTAATAAAAAATTATAAATACAACTCAAATTATTAATATCTGACTTTTTATTCAGAGCATTAGAAAATTCATTGATACGAACCATTTCCAGAAAAACAAGCTTATTACAGTTTATTTCACTCTCCAAAACTGTGACACCGTTAAAATTCATTTTGTGGCCTGTACTTAATGTATGTTCTGAAAGAGCACAGGACGTTTTTTTTTTAAATTACAATCACTTGCGGGATGTAAGTCTACCTTTTAGCGTACGGCCTGTTTGTCCAATGTATGTCTGGTTACAATTAAAACAATCAATTTTATAAACAACCCCCGATTTTTCTAATTTATGGTAAGGTTCTTTAGTTCTAGAAAAAAGTCTATGCAGCTAATCCAAAACAGGATTCCATGTTTTCTTAGTTTCCGCCGAAGGTGTCCGCAAGATCTCGGCCGAGTCTCAAAATTGCGGTATCACTTCATACCGTCCATCATCCCCGAAATTATTACGACGATCCATCCAAGCATAACCTCTCCGTAAACCCTTTTATGAAGACGGAAAAGTTTTTGCCTCAGTTTCCAATTTTTCCATCTTTGGACCAAAAAGACCATCTTCCGAAAGAGGCCTGAGGGGGAAGGCGTCCAACAGCGGAGGCTTTTTCGTAACTTTATTTTGGCGGACAGGACGAGAGTGTTCCGCCAAACGTATGGAGATTCGGCAACATTTTGAAAACCACCTGAACGTCAACCCGCACCATCCGCAGTATATTATCGGGAGTTACTAGTATGAAACCGCGCTAGACGCATGTAAAACTTTTCTATATTGCTTTAACATATCTATGCATACAATTTGTCTCTTTATTATTATCACATATTATTATTCACACAGTGTATTTAACTGAATAAAGTTCTTTTAGAGCGTGCTCCCGAGTTTTTGATGTAAGAAAACCTTTACAACAGATTCAAAATCTTTAGAGCCCTCATAGACTGAGAGATTGGTGTCAAAATCTCCCGTGATCGGATTAATGGCCAATTTTGTTTTTAATGTGTTGGTCGTATGTTGTATAACAGGATTTCAGAGTTTGCTGACACCCCTTGTGGGGCAGGGGTTGGGGGTGCGGGGGTAAATACGAAAATCGCCCCGTGATCAGATTAATGTCAGCAACTCATAATATATATTCTAGACATCTAGACCTTCGGGGGAGTACGAAAATGAAAGTTGCTGACAGCCTAGTTGGGGCAGGGGCGTTTAAAACGGAGTCAAATATATCACTTACCGAGCGCGCAAACTGTATGCGTAGTCCAGACGGTATCTGTTTCGGGTTGGGTAAAACGCATATGATCGGAGATTTTTGCTTTAACGGCTTCCAAATAACATCAGGAATGATAATTTTTCTATGCAAATAAAAAAAAACGTGGATTTAATTGTTATTGCAAAAAAGTATAAAAAATTGCAAAAAAATCATTTTTTTCTTGGATTTCTCGTCGACAACGTAGCAACTATTCATTTTAGACAAAAATGGAAGAGGAAACAAATTTTTGTAATTAAATTTTGATCAAGATAGAGTTAGTTGCAATTCGAAAAAATAAATATTGTTATTGCAAAAATCGGAATAATCATTTAAAAAATTGCAAAATATGCTAGTTTATTTGTCAATTTTTTTCAGACACTTGAATAATACCTAGAATCTTCATACTTTTCCCTATTAAACTTCTTACTGCATAGAATCATCACATCAAATTTTATCCAATTCGGTTCGATAGTTTTTACATAATTGTTTAAAAAAAATTTTAAAATCAAATTTCTAAAAATCTAAAGCCTTTGAATACTTGAAAATTTCACCATAAAAAGAAGAGCTCTCAAGCTTTAAAATGATTTTTATATATATCCTTATAGTTTTGCTGTAAATAAGGGATAACTTTAACGGGCTATAACTCCAAAAATAATGGGCGGATCATCAGTTTTTTTAAAAATATTCGTTTCAAACCATATTTTAAAATAAAAGAAAATTTGAAAAAAACATTAAATTATTGCAATTTTTTATAAGCGTGAAAATGGCGAAAATGATTAAACAATCACCACAGCACGCCTAATCGTCCGATTTGAATTTTTAAAAAACCATTTTAAAGCTTGAGGACTTCTTTTTGTGGTGAAATTTTCAAGTATTCAAAGCTTTAGATTTTTAGAAATTTGATTTTGAAAATCTTTTAATTTGAAAAGAAATTTAAACAATTAGGTATTATGTAAAAACTATCGAACCGAATTGGATGAAATTTGGTGTGATGATTCTATGCAGTAAGAGGTTTAATTGGGAATAGTATGAAGATCCTAGTAGATATTATTCAAGTGTCTGAAAAAAATTGACAAATAAACTAACTTTTTGTAATTTTTAGATGATTTTTCCGATTTTTGCAATAACAATAATTATTTTTTCGAATTGCAACTAACTCTCTCTTGATCAAAATTTAATTACAAAACTTTTTTCCTCTTCCATTTTTGTCTAAAATGAATAGTTGCTAAGTTTTTACGAGAAAAAGGCATTCTTAATTAAAATTTTTGCTTGTCTTTAATATGGAGAACTTTCACATTGCGTGTACAGGGTGATGAGACAATCAGTAAATATAAAAATCGTTCAAAAATAAACTACCTTTGTTTTTAACAATACAGAAATATGTTATTAACGAAAGTTGCTTAGAATTGAAATTTATATTATAATCTCAATTTGTGTATGAATCGGCCTACTTTGGTAGAAACGGACAGTAAAACATTTTTATTGTTCATTTTACGAGAAAATTGATTAAAATTTTTGCTTATCTTTAAAGTCATATTAAAAATATTTTAAAATGTGCCCTTGTGTGGTGAAAATACCGCGAACAAGAAGTCAAAAGTTATAAAACTGTAAAAATGATTACTAGCATCAGAACGTCGATAGAAGAATTTTTTGGACATGATTAGGTTTTTTACCACAAACGAGGGATTGTTGAGGAACATGTCCGTAATTTTGAATTTTGAAAATTCAATGGCAAATTTGTAATTAGAATTCCTAAGAGCATCCGGACTGTTTAATTTCAGTGAGCTAAGTGATATGTAATCGTTTTTTGCCGACAAGGAGAAGATTCGGGATTCTTCGTATGCCATATTGGATCCTCCATTTTGAATTTTAAAACTTCAATAGTAAATTTGTGATCACACTTCCTAAAAACTGTAGACATTACTTTATGTAAGATATAATCGTTTTTTTGCCACGAGAAGGATAGTTGAGATTCCTCTTTCGACATATTGGTTTCGTCATTTTGACTTTCAATACTCCAATAGTAAATTTTATTATCTGAGAACCCAAAAGCCCCCGGACTCTAATCTTCAAGTGATCTGAAATCGTTATGGTACTGTTATATGGGTTTTATGTCTGCCATATTGGATCTGCCATTTTGAATTTATTTCCGATGATTGCTTCGTAATCAGCGGACCCAAAAACTTAATATATGCATTGGGATATCCCCATTCTTTTAAATTTTATCAATGTTTTTTCCTAAATTTACCAAGAGTGAATTTTGTAGGCGCCATATTCACCATATTGAATTTCTCATGAAAGACTCTTTTATTTTAAGACCTTATACGTCTAAATCGGTCAAATCAATTTTTGTATAGGTAGGGTGATCGGTTTGACGTAAAATGCCCCATATACAGGGTGTTTCAGAAAGACCTCCCGTAAATACAGGGGGTGAAAGTACGACAAAAAATGAGAATTTTTTGTCATGAACATATGTCTATCTCCTCTTGTTTTCGAGATACAGAGCGATAAAATAAAATTTTTTAAATAGAGATTTTTTACGAAAATTTCCAAACGGTGCGAAATATTTTTATGAAATTTGGTACGCCGGAGTTTTTAAGGACGCCAAATACGCTGGTCTAATTATTCGGATGGATATTTCATAGAGGGCGCTAGTTATTCCTATTAAATTTTAAGTTCTAATTTTTTTAAGGTAATGTTTTTTACCATTCGGGCTCCAATTTCTAATGTACAATTTTATTTTCTAAAAATAATGTACTCTTGTTAGAACTTCATAATGTGGACGATTTTCGAGAAAAAGGTTTTTAATTGAACTCTTACAATATTACGGTATATAAAATAAATGACATTTCTCAAAGTAGGCTTATGCCAAAACGTATTGATGGATGTCTTACAAACAACGTATATATATATATGCGCTAGACGCATGTA